ACGGTTTTTTGTTGTGAAATCTTGAGCTGCTCTAATTTTGCGCCACATTTCTACCTTTCTTTTTCCGACTGTGAATTAAAAGAATGTAGTGTCTCAGTCTTTACAGGCGACTTTCACAAAAGTTCTTTTTCTCTAGGGCCAAGGAAAAAGGGAACGACACTGATGAAAGTCATGCCAGCTGTATCTTTTAGGTCAATATTTGAAAAGTGTGTTTTGTTTTCTTGATTTTAGGTCGGTAAATATCTAGTTTCCTGATTTCAAAACCCACTTCTGCTTCCAAACTTGCATTATCTAACCTACGGAAACCACACAACAGTTGTAGATCATTACGTGTTTTAATTTTAGCAACGAGATGTCGGTAATCACGAACCGTTCAACCAAACCAAACCGTGAAGCAAAACTGCTTCACCTCTTACGTTGAAGAACGACAATACATAAGCTTGAACCTCTCTTTGCAATAACTAAAAATTCCTAGTTAGTAAGGACAGAACAAAGAACTGAACGGGTCAACCTTAAAGCATGTTAACTACAGTGTTAGCCCGAATGCCGTGACGAACACACAAACGAACAACTTTTGCCCCCAATTTAAATTAATTGATGGAATAGGACCCCGATTATAATCTTTTTATAGCAAACCGTTCTCCAGTCTCTTATAGCACGTGAAATGGCGGAAAGTCAGTTAGCCAGAGCTTTGTTTTAAAGCATAAAAGACCTTCTAAAAATGGGCTATTTAGGTTTTATTTATTCCTGTCTTATTCAATAAAGTGCAAATGAAACGTTTTTCTGCAATCCTGCATCTTGGTAATTACTAAAAACTCGAGAGTAATTTCACAGAAAATTCCCAGCGCTTCACTCATCAGACCTTTTTTATTGGATTGCAACGGGCGTTTATATTTCAGAAGGAATGAATGCCTAATTCTGGGTCCGGGAAGGGGTCTTGTTTTCATGAGGGTGGAGAGGGGAGCCAGTGACCTTTCTCACCCCACTCTCTGTTATTCTGACACATCTCCAATTACAGTGGAAACCCCCCCCCACCAAAAGTTTCGAGTTGCCCCCCCTCCTCGAAGGGGGATGCTCATAGGCTAACGTTGTAGAATCCGACAAAATTAACTGCAGTGATGTTTTACTACAGGTGCGTCTCCTCAAAATCCGCAACTGGCAGTTTTCCGATCGGGTCTTTTTCACATCTCAATTCATAAAACCCCTCACTGTTTTAAAGAGCTCCAGCTACCGTACTCTGACTGGAGGAGCATCTCCATGTACGCATACCGGTATAGGGAGTACCCCCGGAGATCGTTGAAGTGAATTAAAAGCCGGAAACGCTATAAGATAAGCAAAAAATTCCTCAGCGTTGGTCAGTCGACTAGAAATGGTAGGGTTCATTGAAAAGAAAATCATTTTCAAACTTCCCAATGAAAAAGCAGACCGCGCACTTTACTGTAAACTAAATTCCCGCTATTTTCTCGGAAACTCCAATTCAACCTGCCTTCCAGCAGAGGATACTGGCCATCTTCTTGATGTTCGTCTCGCCTTGTCTTTAGAATAACCGTTAGAAATGTCTTTTCTTGGAGCGTTTTATAATCAGTGTCATGTTTCGCTCCCTTAGTTAAACAAAAATGAAGAACACCTCGGAGATAAATTGAAAAGGGAGATTTGATTTCACAACAGCATTTCCGGATTTTTGATAATTTCTGTTACAATGCTAATTCTGTTTGACAGCCATGCATACCGTTCACATGCCTGCCCATCGTGTTTCGCCATCCGTAAATGTTCGGTGCATTGCTCGTTGTAACACTGCTTTTGTAAAGAAACTAACGGATTCAAGGATAAATTTCCCATCTCCTTCGTTCTTTTGTGGCCTGAACATTTTGTATATTCAGTTATCTGGGATCAGAACAGTGTAAGAAAGCTTCTTGCCTTCTTGATTTCCACTTTATTCGGGTCAGGGGAGAGCGGGCATCTTGTGAAGCGACTGAGAAATTGGAATTAACATTTAGTCCTACTTAAGCCTAGCCCTTCAATCTAATTCTCGCTCTTTTTTCAGTGAACTTAACTGAACTACACATCTAAATATTTAAAAGGGTAGAAAAGCAGTACTCACAAAGTCCTGCTTGTCATAATGGAAAATATTTCAGCAATGACTTTATTTTCTTTCGTATTACAGCCTTATGTGATTCTTTTTATATACTAGGAAAACTGACGAAACCGATGCGAAAATGGTCGTTTTTGCGTAAAAACTGCACTAGACTCTTCAGGATGCAAAGAAACTTTTCCGCTTCAGAACTGATGAGTTTATTTTTTTTGACTGACTTAGTATATGTAAACATTTTGTTTCTCACGTTCTGTTCTTTGTGGACTCGAGAGTGCGGCGAGGTCTTGGCACAAAACGCTGAGAAATATCACACAAAAGCCTGAAAAGATAAAAACTAATTAGCGGCTTTAAAAAGAAATGCCTTTTATGCCCTTTTATCTATTTCATGGGTGTTAAGTACTTTTTTAATTTCACCTTCATAAAGGGCCAACCCGTGAGAACATCCTTTTCAATCTGTAAACCGGCAACGAAGTGGATTTGCGTATCAGACTACATTAGAATCTTTTAAGTAAAAGTTGTTCTCTTGGCATACAGACGGCGGAAAAATGTGGATGACGACAAGATAACAACGCAAAAATTTAAACGTTTGAAAGTAACTTTCATCGTATATCCTTATCGTCGAAGTTCTTCCTGGTTGAATTTTGTATCGCAATCCCGACTTTTGCTTTTAGGCCCTGGCTGTTTTAAGAGAAAATAGTTAACCAGACCGCACAAAATTTTATCTGTACGAAGATTTTTGTTTGGTTTAGAGCGGAGCAGGAAATTGTTGTGTAAAGAATTCATCGATGAGATATCAGGCAAAAAGAAAAAAAAATTGCGATAACGAATGTTAATTGGTTCGGCGATGTTTTGTTTCAGTCTGTTGACTGTTGAAAACAAGTACCTTTACTCGTTAGAAAATGAACTGAATTCGTGTTTCTTGACAGGTAACAAAGGCTAAAAGCTTCATTTATACATAAACTGATGGAACAACAAGTTGAAGTGTGAGAAAAATCATCCACCAATTACTAGCTTCCTTGCAGTGTACTTAAAACCAGCACGTGATTTAAATAATTATCGAGAATTTTTTTAATGTTTTAAGAAAAACATTCAAGACTATAACATTCATCTACGCTATCACAGAATTCTAAATTCGAAGCTGCTCCATGAGTCTGTTAATGGTTTTTATAATACGCTTGTAAAAATAATTTTGATGTCTAACCATGATACTTTGAGCACGTCCGGTGTATCCGCCATCTTGGCGCCTATGCCGTCGATACTTTCCTGCAAGTTGTAACTGACTTTCTTTTCTGTAAACCACTAAATGTAAAATTGTAACCGCTTTTGAGGAGGGGCCTTGTTAATCGACAGGAAACGCTGTAACAAAATCAAAGCTATTATCTACCTCGCTTTGCCAGCTCAACGCAAGATGAATCAATAGATTTTAACTTGACAATGTATTCATGTAAACTTTCCACATAAGACATATCAACCGTAATCTAAACAACTATCAAGTACCCCGTCACATGTTGCCGTCTCTTTTCAAGTGCATAAATGAACAGAGTTGATATTAAAAAACCTGACTCTTGCGACCCGAAATTAATGAGAAATTTAAACGCTGAAAATCTAGACGTAGATCAACTGTAAGAAAACAAAAACAAATTTTAAAGATTGATTGATTAACCGTGGGTAGTCCTGGATCGAAAAACAGTAAAGAAAACATTTAAAATGTTGACTTTGTCGGATCACAAGACGCCTTCCGTTTTATTGCCATTCATTTTAGTTAATCTGAACTCGGTTGACAGAGCGCGCGATTCGTGCGATTCGTGTCGATGAAAAAACAAATCTGCTAGTCCCCAGAGGGTGATCAAGTTGATTTGTGGTTCGTGACAAAGGCAGCCAATCACAGATAATACAGCGGACAAGGAGCTCAAAAAGCCTCTTGTCATTTGTCATCAGTGACTGGGTGTGAACTTCCGTTTTGAGTGGGTTTCTTTTGTGTCTTGTTTATGTAGGACGCCATTTGCATGTTAATCTTTCACAACGGGAAATTAAACTTAAAGGCTGCGCTGCCTTTGTTTTGGGCAACAACGGTTGAAATTAAGAATGCTTTGACTCTTTCCCCAGCATCCTGATCGATTTTGACTCGCTATTGAGTCGATCTTAACTCATGTATCAGCGTTTAATGGTTATTTCAAGAGTTTGAAGCCACTGCCTACGTCAATCGGTAATCGTTCTCTCGTAGAACCGGAACTAAGTCCCCCCATAGCATACCATCATTTCCGTTAAAACAAGTTTATCACTTGAGGGATTTTAAAGCTTGAATTACAATAGAGAATAATCGACCTCGGCTAAATATAAATTGCTCAAAACAACGGCCTACAAAGGAGTGAGAACGTAAGTATTTTGGTTGCGAAGGAAGGAATTTTCCATTCATCAGAGTGCCCCTCAAAGTTAATTTGTTACACCACAGGTCGTGTTCCACCCGCGAATAAGTCAGTGTCTTAGGGCCGTGGGGTAATAAAGCCAGGATTGCACCAAGAAATTTATGCTCAACTCGTCGAGTATATTTTACGTCAAGTGAAAGCATTCATGCGGTGGGGAAGCCGTCGATCTATTGCATGCCGTTGTAAATTATTGTTGCCAGGAGCTTTGGTCATTTTCGTAGGAAATTCGCGGGAAAATACTTCCCTGTGGATTTGGGACTTTTGGCAGATTTGATTAGAGGAAACATTAAAATTTCCCAAGCTGGCAATCGGAAGTGCCACGCAAGCTAAGGCCTGCCTATTATAATACAGTCACGGCGACCGGCGCGTTCAGTTTGAATTGAGTAACAACATTGACCGGTCAACACTGACACAACAAATGATCACCGCTGTATGGCAGGATAATTTTTTCTACTCAACTGACTGACTTTTAGAACATCTTCATGAGACGCAAAGAATTAAGGAACATAATGCAAGGAACAAATGATAGAAACCACTTCACTTTGGTTGAAAAGTTACCGCGTTTCACATCGAATTTCTCTGCACCCATCACAGAGGAGAGTGATGCGGACGATTATTATCCATTCGTTATTGGACACGGGCCGAGCTTCAAAGTTATCGACCCTAAAGTGTACAAACAACTACGGCGACATAATATTCAGCAAAAACCGACCAGTAAAGTAGCGGAATGTACGAGAAAATCGACGATCGTGAGTCACAAAACGCCCGCTACAACAAAGACAAAACTTTCAAGTTCTGATAGTGCGGACGATGGCGATGAATATTGTGAACTTTCGCCGCTTGCTAAAGCACCTCCTATAAAGTTGACTACGCTACGTTCATATTCTACTCCAGCAGAACTCAATCCTAAACCAAGCTTGGGGAGAGTTTCCAGCTTCGATCGTAGACTGTATACCGATTGTTATTATTCAAAGACTAAAGCCTCTTTGGTTGAGAGTCAACCGAGCTCTCCGCAATCACGGCCTACAACAAGACTAGTTGACAATAGTAACTCGTTTAATAGAACTAACCAAGGTTCGCAGTGGACTAACGACAAACAGGAACCCCTCTTGTGTGGTGTAGAGGCAGACGAGCTCATAGACTATGCCAGTTGTATGTGTTGTGTAAAAGGAATCTTTTATCACTGTACGAAAGACAATTTTGACGAAGGACACCTGGCCGAGGAGCCGTGTTCCTGCGCCGGACCCGTAAGCTCTTGCGCGCCGAGATGGGGGTGTCTTGCACTTTTGTCATTGTTCATACCCTGTTTGTGGTGTTACTTACCAGCCAGGGGCTGTAAAAAGGCCGCCACCAGCTCGAGAAAAAAGAAAAAGACACAAAAAAGCTTTAAATTTAACTCGAAATAGTTGAGATTATTTAATTTGTCTAGGCAACAACTTTTGACTTCATAAGTCAGAATTCGAAGTAATTTTTGTAAAATCCATCGCCATATGTTATGTGCGAGTTTTTATTAGAGTTTTAATCAAATGTTTTATTTGTATGAGGTGGGAAGTCTGCGAAACGTTAACAGGCTTTTAGGTTTTAATTAATCAGGGAAGCGTTATCTCTTCTTTTAGTGTTAAATGATGACAGACTTTTTGTTGCATTTCATTGTGTTTATCGAAATCCATAAACCTGAAATCAGAGTTTGAAATTCTTTATTTACGCGATAGGATGACTGATAGATTAAGTTCTTGTGACTTTATACCAGACTATCAAATGCTCTTGCCATCTGTTTTTACTCCGGCAAATCTAATAAGCCTGTTTGTTTTTCGCTTCCATCCGAACCAAAACAAATGCATCATGCGAATATGCAGCAATGTAAAAAACAAATTGTTTAGTTAAATTATGACGCGCAGAAAGAGAATTATAATTTATAAAAGTTTTTAATCTTTGTATTTAAGTTTTGTCCTTTTTGACTATTGTATGCAACACAGGTTGTTACTTCAGATGATAAATATGCGGAACACTCTAAAAGGAACTGAATAAAATTGGGTGTTTCAGGATATGAGTTTTGCGTGGTAGGTTGGTTTTCGTAGTTTTCGAACATTCCTTCAGTTTCTTGCAGTTTGCGTCCTTCCGTTTTACATGTTCATCTTTATTGAATCGCGCGCTTTAGCCGCTTTAGCGAATTATTTGACAACCGTTCGTATTAGGCAATCACTTCCTGACGTTGTGAAAACCGCGTCAACCCATCGTGTCATAACCCGTTCATACCATTTCAAGTCTGTTCTGAGTGTTCACAAAAGACTTTCGAAGAGTTTTAACAGAGCAAGTCGACGATAGGACCGCTTTTCCCTTTGACAACAATGAACCCCTGTGACGTGATGAAACCCTCATCGCCCGCTCATTCAGTCGGAAACGGAAATGGGAGGTCTCTATCGAATTCGAAGCCTATGTTTCTTCTCATCCCGATCCCTCACTAGCCAGCTTGGTCACAGTACTTCCGCTTATCCTCTAAACGTCTTTAAAAACCTAAAATAGATCGCAATGGAATCAATATTTAACGACCACACGATGCTCATGTTCTCCTTTGTGTACAAAATAAGGAACCAGTTACCAAAATCACGGTAATTGCTGACATACTGGCTTTAAGGCCACCATGTGGCATTCCGCGGGCTTGGACTTTTGTTGTCCCAATTTTCAAGGCAGCATGAGTTCCGACAACTGACTGTTGGATATTAAAACGAGACAGATAATCCTTTCCCTTTGAAGGATTTTATTTGACGATAAGTGAACTAAGAAATCCGTCTCTTTGAAATATTGTTGATTTGTTTGAGACACGTAGATAATGACTGTCGAGTCACGCTTAGTGTAAAACATTTTGATAACTTTTTTTTGATAACTATTTTTACATGGCTACTAGTTTGCGGACCGTTTTTCAGTTGCGTGTCAGTTTGCTCTGAGATAAACCATTGGATAAACTAACGGAAGGAGGGACTTGTGTCACTTGTGAGGCTATTGAAAAATGGTAGAAGGTTCTTTTTTGTCAAAGGATTTTACTCTTTGAACAATATCAAGTATATAAATACCCATGCTTTTGTTTACTTTAGTTTAACAGTGTAGCTCATATCAAAGCTATATCAAGAATCATGACTGTAAGCGTATCTTATATTTTTCTAATCAGATTTTGCGTTTGTGGAATAAAAAAAGCAGTTTTCCAGTTTTAATCTTGATTTTTGACGTTTTGTGACTTGCCCCGAAATGGTAATATGTTTGAGAAAAGAGAAGGGCAGATCACGCGAACCTTTTGGTCACAGGCCGAATAAACGGCTCCTCCCCTTGTAAAAGTTCTTTTAGAATTTGGTCTCATGTCTTTTACATCAGGAAAAAATCTCGAGCCTACATTTTTCAGGATTTTTAATACCTGATCTTTTATGTCACAAACAATTCTTGACAATCGGAATAAAGCAACTTTAATTGGTTTTAAAATAGTGTAATCACACTTATGAATCATAAGCTTCAAAAAAGGAAATGGCCACAACATTTTTATTCTTTTTGCTTTTCACACCTTTTGTCCATGTGCTCTGATTAAGCGCTTCCGCAGTCTTTTTACCAACGATTATTTTGCAGCTTTAGTACCTGTTACTACGAGGAAAAGTTCTAATGAGTCTACCACTTTTCTTCCGCGAGTTTTGTTACTTTTTCAAGAACTTTTTGCGTTCTTGAACAAAGCAGTGTCTTTGTTTTCAACCTTACGTTTTACTTATGAGATACTTATTAAGTTACTCATCCTCTGAGACCAGTGGCACGCCAATTCAGAGGGAATTATATGAACTGATTCACGGGCGAAATTGCGTATTGCTGGCGAAAAGTTTAAGACTTCTCAGGATCCGCCAAGCTTGAGTATAGTTGTATCTTATCCGTTCTGTAAACTCATGAATAGAGTCGTAATTAGATAAATCAGATATTCAACCGCGGCACGACTTGCCTAGTTGCGAAGAAGGGAACAGTGATTTAAGGTACCCTCGTCTTGTCAACTTGTCATGCTGTTCGGAACTGATCCCACCCCTGTAACTGCTGTAACTGTTTCAAGTTATTAATCCCACAAACCAGAACTGGCTTTTTTACATACTGACTACGTTATAACATTTCGTTTAGATTCACAACACAACAAAGAATATAAAAGAAGCTTTCGAACACTTTAAACTTGGTTTCCAATGTGAAAATGTTGGAAGGGGTTGCTTCTGTGATACCACCACCCATTTTGTCAAAGTATGCTTCCTTGACAATTATCACACCAAGCATTTGAAAGGTACGTAGAGAGAGCCGAGGGCGTATAGCAAAAAAAGCAAAACCCATAGAATCTGGTTGTAAAAATTAAAGCTACACACTCATTGTCGAACCTGAAGGGAATTCTAGCCCTGTTGTTAAAATCTACTGCCAATTTCGGATTAATGTTCAAGCTGTTTGTATCTAAATTTATATCCTCTGTTTTGGTTCTTTGTTGTCCCAAATTGTTTTAGCTTCATCAGCAATTAATACGTGGTTTTTACAAGCAAACTGGATGTTTTTAACAATGTTTTCGTTTCTAAAGATAGCTTTGTTCTCTCGCGTCCGTTGTCTAGACAAATAATATTTAACGGAAAAAGCACATGAATACCACAGGATATCGCTAATCCACAAGCGAACTAGAGTTTTTATATTGGGCTGATATTAGGTGCAATTAATAGACTGGTTAAAACCATCTTGTCGCTGTAAGCGGAAGCTGGAACTTGACCTCTTCGATGTTCATTTAAAATTGGAAGGGAGTAACAATACAGTTTGTTTTGATAGAGCTTACATCAGTTTTATCGTTGTGTTCAGTGCGTGTATAAATTAATTTCTAACAGGAGCAAATACAGGGCAGTTGTGAACTGCACTGCAAAAACTGGAACAGGTGATTCTTAGGCGAGGAAAACGAGCGTGGGGTGGGGGCGGGACGACTCTAGTAGGTTAGTTCTAATATGAAAATCAAAATGTATTTGTACACACAGTTCTACCTGTGCGAATTGAAGTGACAGGTTATGCGGTTAGCGCGCAAATGTATAATGACAGGAAACCAGGCCGAAATACTGAGTGTGGTTCGTATAGTTTTGATTAAAATAAATTGAGCCACATTTTATGAAGCCGAAAAGTTGATCTTTTTTATGAGTTTTATTTTCAACGTGGCTGAACAGCTAATCACTTATAAGCAGATCTGAGCTCAAAGTTCCGTCTCTCCTTCTGTCCATCCTGTTTCAGCCTCTCAAAACCAGCACGCGCCAGTGATATAGCGCTGTCGGCCGGGGAAGGGCGCTGGCTTCTTGTTTTGGCGCAAATGTTCCTGTCACGTCCAGCTTGCTGGGCTTCCTTCCATAGCCTGACTGACAGAACTGACGCGTGCTATTACAGCTTCAGAGCTTTCAGCGAATCTGTGATCTGTGCATTTTTCCCTCTAAACTGTGAGATTAGTTATGTAATACACACTCAAGTCAAAACACCGTGAGCCTGTGAGCGGATTGCTGTTGTGTTACCCCCGTCTATAGTAAATCTTAAGTAAATTGTTACAGTCTTCCGTTTCTAAGTCATGCTTACCATATCGTTAAAAGACTTCGGTACAACTCGTTCTAAATCATCAAATCAGTTATTACACTCCCAAGACTGAGAACACCGTGGGTTTGAAGACGAATGATGTTGTTTTACCATCGCCAATTTCATTTTTTTTTTAAGTCTCTCTAGGTCTCAAAAGACTTCAGCGTAACATGAAACTATCAGCTATGACACGCCCAAGTCAAAGAACGCTAGACTGCTTGCAGTCCGCCTTTTCTCTTAAAATCCGTCTAGTTCTTATCTCATTCAGCGCGATTTCTTCTCGAGCTTACGCTCTCGTTTCCCGCGGCTCGCGGTTTTGCCGCTCGCGTCCTTGGGTTTTGCGTGCAGTAACTTTGCACAGAAAGATAAAAGACTGCTCGCAGTCTAAAGAACACCGTTGAAGACGAATGATGTTGTGTTACCAAAGTCAATGTCAATTGTTAGTTGTCAGTTCTACGTCTTAAACATCTTTTTAAGACTTCAGCGCATCCCTGCATGATTTTAGTCTTTATTAGTTTTTCTCCGTTACTCCCAGTGCTATCAGAGCCAGGAAAAAGTGCACCAAAGTGAAGGATATGACATCTTATTCATCTTTAATTTTTCCTCTTTATTTTTCCCATATATAAAATATACATTTCTTTATTTTGGGCGGTAACACAACAAGTATCAAAAGACCTTAATAGCCTTTACTTAATCATTTGTAAGTGAATAGGTTTGGTTAATAAAGTTGAGTTATACGAAAACTGAAATTTCCTACCAAGGTGAGTGTACCGCAGCTGCCGAGAAAATGTTTCTTGGAATTTTCCACTGGGGATAAATTTCGTTAAGGTCTATTTTCACCTTGAGACATATCCATTGAAAAGATACCTTCATTTTTCCATAGGTATTTTGTGAAGAACTAGTGTTTTGACTGACAAATAAGAAAATGTCGGTTTGTTCATTATCTACCAGTCAAAATAGGTAAATTCCCACGTTTTATGAATAATAAAACCAAGTTTCTCTTTCCTGCCAGCCCCGAAGGAAACCGCACCCCAAAATAAGAAATGAAACCGCCTCTTAGTAAATACATTTCATTTTACCGATCAGATTTAATGGCCGACTTGTTTTCCTGTTGGGTTTTGGGGGGTACATTATATAGGTACGTGCCGCGGGAAAGGGTATGGTTTATGAAGTGCTCAGTACTCAATTACTAGTAGGGCATCCGTTTTTGGTATTGTTGTCTTTTGTTAGGGTCGCTACAATCACAGACCCTCAGCCTCTGTCCTTTTGCGTTATTTGGACTTACCAAGAGTGTTAAACTGGAGTTTTCAGATCGTTTCAGATGCGGTTAGGATTTTAATTTGGAGTTTACGTTTGTAAATTGCGGATCGGCACAAGAAAACAAAGACGCTTTCCACTAGACTACAATGGAGTAGAGTGGAACAGACTTTTTGATTACTAAAGACACGCATATCGTCTTCTTCAAGCATCTTCAAGCGCAACCTTTTAAAATTCCTGCATTTTCCATCCCGCAGCTATCTTTTTTATATCGGGGATCGTTCAGCGTCAATTTTTCACACTCGTTTGAGTCTTAATTTTAGTGCCTTAAATTATCACCTTTTTCAGGAAATTAAACTTGCAGTCCTTCACCTGCCTGTGTGGCTCTTTGCGATGCATCTATGTAAGACGTGAAACAATATTCCTGTATTACCCAAGTTTTGCTGCTCTGCGTGAAAAGTTTTTTGCCTCCGCTGTACAATTACTTGGTAATAGATGGCGTTGTGCTTCAGATAAGATGGATTGGCTTTTAAACGGTATTTCTACTGCTGATTTTCAACTTAACGTTAGATTGTTTCAGCTTGTCCAGTCGTTTATTTCGCTATTAACTCGCTTCTGCGTGTTAGTTGCTGTGTGTGTTTTATAATTATTTTTGTTTTTCTTTTTATACTTTCGCTTTTTTTATGTATGTGTTCGATCGTGACGTGCATTTGTATTTTTGAAATATTGAATGTACACAGCGTAAGCTCGCTGTAGATGAGGCTCTTAGAGCTAATGTTGTAATAAATATTGTTTATATAAAAAAAAGACTACAGTCGAACCTCCGGCAATATAACGAACCTCTTTATAACGAAGTCCTTGATATGATAGAACGAACGATTTTCTCTATCCCAGTAATAATAAATTTAAACATAAAAAAGAACTTCGATATCACGAAACCTCGTTATAGTTGGCGAGCAAATTTTGCCCCCCCCCCCCCAGGCTCTTCGTCATATCGAGGATCCCCTGAATTGTCCGGTGGAAAATGAGGAGCTGCCAAAGCAACTGCCATTATAGATGTAAGATATGATCGCCTAAATGCATGGACTACTTTCGAGCGACTCTACAGCCACGTCCAAATCCGCTCATCAGTGCAAAAATGGGAGTTTTTTTATTTCCTGCGTTCGATAAGGAATACCGTCAAGTTCGTTCTAATTTTCACCAACATTCAAATTTCGAGGTGTTAGCCTTTTTGTCCTTTAGATTCTTCAGTAATTCAAAACAAATTGTCCACCGAGTGCCGCTAGAGTTAAAAAATTCAAGAACTGAACAGGAGACCACCATACCTTCCATTATGAACGTTTAAATTTTCTTCGTTATATTGTACCAACGAGAAGCAGCTCGAAACTTGAAGTCTCCTTAGTATTTATTTACTCTCAAAATAAAGTATCAATGCCTAATCACTAAGCCAAAGAGCACTTCAGAGCCAGACCGTGATCATAAGTAAGAAATGCAGGAACGAGAATAATCAGCAACAATCGTTAAAAGTATGTGTCGTAATTCTCAAGGGGAAGTTTCGAGGGTCACCAATAGTTTTTTCGGAATCCAGGATTTCTCTTATTTGAAGCCCGGGATTCAGGATTTCCCTTATTTTAAATTCGGGATTCGGGATTGAAAGTATGCACGGGAGGTGGGATGCCAAAAATAACCATCGGGATTACGGGATTGCCCGAAATTTTGGGTCGGGGTCAAGGGATTGAAGAACGCTATTGGGAACCCTCAGTTTCTGATCAATGAAGACGTCTTTGTGACTGTCGTCAATTGTTCTTGTTTTGTATCTTTGTGTACTCAACTTTATCTATCAACATTTCTTTATTTCAGATAAAAGGTAAGGTTTTGAGAATCGTCGCGCGCACATCTCTCCTCGATTGAAAAGTATCCATGCTAGACGCTGACCGAACCGAGTCTGCGTTCGAGTTTCAGTTCGATTTCTGTTAAGGTATTTCAAGGCTGGCAAGGCAAAAATCGTAAAGCAAAACTCAAGTGATTAATTCTTGTGATTTCGAGTTAAGCATTGAACAATGGAGTGCTTTGTTTTTCCGTTTCATGCCCGGGGGGGTACTCCCTTATATAAGCTATAAAGGTATGCCGGCCCATCGGGTAGGGGTTTTTCGCCGTTTTGGTCTGAAAACGGGTATAAACTTTGCCCATTTTGGTCTGGAATCGGGTATGGTTTTCGAGGGAACCACGGGAGTGTACGAACGTATTTATCGTTTCAATTTCAAATGAGTAAGAAAGAAAGAGAAATATGCGAACTGGAAATGGATTTGAGGAATTTTTTTGTTTGCACGCTACTGGCTAAGTAATAATAACATAATTTCTGCCTAAAGGCCAGGTCTGAAAACGGGTATGGATTTTAGAGGTCTGGTCTGAAAACGGGTGTGGAAAATTACATTTTTTGGTCTGAAATAGGGTCATGCAGGATTTGGAGAACCGGACGGCACACCCCTACCAATAATTCCCATGGATACCCCAAACTCCCCCCCCCTCCCCCCCCCTCCCCGGTTCAAGCTTCTAAGACTAGGAAATCTAGGAACGATGGAGGCAACGGGTTAGTGATTTGATGAATACTGCACGGTTTTAACCGCTCGGCGTTCCCATAGTAAAGGACGAAAGGTTATCCTATACTGGCCTGCCATATCATCTTAGCTTTTTTAAGTTCAAGAATGAAGTAATGTCTTCCGTTGTAGTCCACATCATTTTGGAACCGATCAACGATGACGCTAATCTCCTAGGTCTAATCTACTTTAAGATTTCTTCTACATATTCCACGATTAGAGAATTAGAAGGTAAGCAAGTTTTTTTTAAAAGTTTAAAACTTCGCGAACATGCTAGTTAATGGAGACTTTGATCCCCCAAACAAATAGCTAAATTAAAAATGCAGGATCATTCCGCGTTGGTCAGATCAGATCAGGAAGGAAGTTTTAACAAGTTAAGGCTCCTCAAACACAAACAAACGTCTTTCAAGAGCCAATAATTATCTACCGTTAGACTCTTAGGTTGATCATTAGTGTGGATGCCGCTAATGACTTAGAAGACATATGGCGAAAAGTCACAATCAAAAAACAATGCCTCATGCATGGACAAGCAACAAACAAAACTAACTACTTCGACAAAAAAGAGGAGTGGGCGTGGTTTCAACGGCCAAACCATTTGTTGGTTCCTTTTCTCGATCGATTTGAGATTGAATTGAAAGGCTGAGCTTTGTTTAGCTATAAACTTCTCTGTGTAATGCGCTGATGATTTTAGGAACATGACTTAAATGTTTGTTAAGCAAAACGTTGATAAGCCGTGTGATAAGCGATGACAAGACTAAATGCCACGGTGGTGCGCTCGTGTACAAACTATCCTTCGTTCAAACCGCAACTTTATTAAGAAAATTCGAGACGTTCAAGACGATTAGTCAAATCAAATCCCCTACAAAAATATTATTACCTCTTGAAAAATATGTTTGTGTGTTTATAGATCGTGAAAGAGATCAGTTTTGAGTGAAATCCGGTGCTGTACGCTCGACCGACAGTAGAAGCAGACTCAGCGTCGCCGCGGTAATTTTTTGTATTGTACGTGATCGGCACAGGAAGGAAGGGCTTAGTTTTATTGCTTTTCAAGCTCGGTATGCGGGAGACTTTAAATGTTATGGTTGGACTCTATTTTAGTCTTTTATTGTCGGGGTTTTTAATCATTTCTAAACCTAAACTCGGATGGGATTCTCGCTTACGTTTTCCCGCTTGGTCACTGGTGACAATTAAAACTCTGCCTTTCCTATGGTTTTACGTGGGCGACGCATATGTAACGCGCGCAATAGATCGGTTTGTTAAATCCGTTGAACAGGAAACACTAACACTGATTTAGGAGAGCTCCCGCGCACGCGAAGGAATATTTGACTCACAGACCTGGAGAAATGATGGCCCGAAGCTAGGCTGCACTTCCCACCACATGCGCACAGCGTACCCAGTGTAGCGGGCATTTCACCATAATACCTGACCTTGCTTCAGTTTCAGGGTCTGAAAGGGATGTCGCGTGACCTTGAATTGACCAGTAAACACAGCGTGAATCGGGAAAACTCATAAAATACAGTTGTGATTCGTGAGTTATATTCTCACTGTGACGCGTGATCATCTAACATTGTAGTCCTTGACGATAAAATATATGTAAGTGTCGTGACGAGGGTTCGAAGTTATAAACAATGTAAAAGTAATAAAATTCATTGCCAGTCACTATGTAGTCGTCAAACAAAAAGCAGAGAATCGCGACTTTGATCAACATACTCAGTATCGGGAGAAATGGTCGAACATTTACGTACGCATATGAATAAGACATTGTAGCGTATTTTTCAAGCATGAATGCACCATGAAAGCCGGCATGACAATAGAGAAAACGGGTGTTTTTGGCGCAGCAGAGTGAGCTGATTCTTAAAGTTGAAGGATTAGTTTTTAAGGATTTAAAAGTTGAAGGATTGTTAGTTCAACCCGACTACTCCGCGATGAACAGCACTTCCACACATTCATGGCAACCAATACATTAGACTCCTGTTAAGCAACGGGGAATAACAATAAGCGATATGACAGACTTAGAAACTTTCATCGACTGTAAGTAAATGTCACGAGAACAATAGCCATTTCTCCCGATGTTTGTTTCCTTCCCATCAAGGGGTCATTCAAGACGAACTCTTGCCTACAGTAGTCAAGCAACCACTACGAATCATTTATCGACTTGAGCAGTTCGTCACCTAATCACGTGACTCGTGAAGTGACTCCAAAATAGCAACAACAACAACAACAAATCAAAGTAAACTGGAAAGGAAATATTTCACACATCCTGCAGTAAGCTTAAGCTAATAATCGAGGCGGAAGGTGATGGACTAGAAGAAAAAAAAACATGAGACCAAAAATCTAGCCATAATAATATTATTGAGTTCGTCCCTTTGAGATGATCAGGGATCAGGATCAGTGATCCGAGATCACTCATGGTAGATCAAATGAGCCGATGAATCCACTCTGGACAAGGAGTCATCGGTTCATTTGAGCTACCATGA